TTAGTATTTCTGAGCTTTCCAAGTTCACATTTTAGCCATGAATAATTTATCTCTTCACCAAACAAAAATAAACATTTCTTAAAATCCCATAATGATGTCTTTAGTTTCATAATTAGGAAAGCTCTTAATCCTCTTTAGTTCCCCACTTGGAGCTCTCAATGGTCCAGGTATACAAAGAGTTTTCATCTTTGACTATCTGTATTTCCAAAATTTGGATTCTTATTTAGACGTAGTAGTATGTCTAAACTCAGAAGACACTGAATACAGCTATTAGGCCTTATGATTTTAAACATTTAGTACTTAAGAAATAAAAGCATATTAGAAGTAGAATTTCAATTCTTAGTGATTTTTCAATCCACAGCTAATACCTTCCTTCCTTCACTGTCCCCACCTACCACTGCCACTATAGCTGAGGCTTGCAGCAGCATACACTGTCTGATGTTCACAGAGATGGAGGCCCTGAGGGCAAATATTTTAGCATGGATCCCTATTGTTAAGTGACACAGGAGGCTGCTTCTCACATTTTATCTTACAGGGATCCTGTTCTAACACATGAGCCTCTTTCTTATTCTTATTCTTTCAACATAACTAATAATAATATAAAACAACAATAACACTATTAAGTGCTTATGATGTCAGATACAAATCACTCCCATGTAAGCAAGCAAAAGAGAACAAGAAAACTCTACAGTTCTCTATCAAAGGGAATGTTTCTTTCCAACTAGCCTCCATCTCTCTCCTTTGAAGGCAAAGCTGATTGACAGAGTAACCTCCAGGGCAAAACTTTATCCTCCCACACATAGAATTTGTGCTTTCTAAAGTCACTGCTGACTTCCTAACTACCAAGTTTAGTGGATACTTTCTGTTTTTTTCTCATTTATAAAAGGCTAATAAAGTCCATCCCGTGCTTTTTACCTTCTTGACATTTTTTGGTTTCTTCCTTTTTTTTCTTGATATTTCTCCATTGTAAATATGAGCAATTCACATAATCTGAATGTCTGCTTCTTTACCTGTAAAATGGAAGAGATAGTTTCAACCTTAAAAGATTCTTGTGAGAAACTATTGGATTAATTTATATCATTGTACTTTATCAGCTCAAGTTGATATATCACTTACGTTGCCATTATTAGATTTATTTATCATAATAAAATACTTTCCATAAGAGTTTCCAAATGATTTCTTTTGATGGTTATGGAAAAATGTTTTGCGTTTTTGCATCTCAGTTATTTTTAATGCTTCTTTTAATGCTTCTTGTTGCTAAATATATTGTCTTCTTTTAAGTGACTGAAATATTTCCTGCCATATTTTTGTGTACTTAGCATTTCTTTTCTGAAATTCAAGCAAAGAAGATTTCAACTCAGCCTTTGCATGATTCATCATAGCACCAGGGGGTTTTCATAAATATTGTGACTTTAGGAGAAAAGAATTCCTGCCCTATAGGATTTTGAGAATCTAACTCGAATCTTACTTTAAATGCTTTATTTTTAGTATCTATAAAAAAATCAAGTTTTTAATACATTATCTGTTGAACTTTTAAAAAAATTGCTTAGCTACAAAATGTAGTCAGAATATCTTATATTGTTCACTTAGAGATTATTGCTATTGCTTAGGACCTTATCATATAAGATTCTGTCTATTAGTCTGTTATTGCTACCTTCGTTGCACTTACAGTTTATTTTTGTCTCCTGTATGAGACCAGAGGCTCTGTAAGGAGAGGCAGTGTGTCTCTCATGCTCACTATGCTTCTCTAAGCCCCTGACACAGTCAGGACACTGCCCAGTAAATATGCAGTAGAATCTGTTAGTAAATGACTCGACCAATATCTGTTTATATACTGCTTTTTAGCTCAATAACCAGGAGCAATTTAAAGCCAACCAAACTTTTCTGAGCACAGAGGACACCAATAAAAGGAGCACAGGATGCAGGTATCTTTCCTTTTAGAATTCTCCTATCTTGTGAAGAATAGATGCAGGTTAGCTTGGACCTATGCTTGTCAAGAAAGAGATTTCTCAGAAAGGAGGGAAGAGGGAAAGGTTTTGGTGGTTGTGTGCGTCAAGGTATATGCTTTGCATATGAATAGGGGATTCCATTTGGGTGACCAAAATCCCTTTCCACTAAACACCCTGTCTGATGGAAACAGATGGAAATGAGTGGTGCCATGACTTGTGACATAAATATTCATTAGAAGCCTGCACATAAGATGAAGAGCAATGCAGTGTGCATGTTGATTGATTCCATACCTGTCCGAGAGAGAAATGGATAAAGAACTAGATCTCCTCTTAATGCTCATTCAGATAGAACCTGGCTTCTTACAGATGGGAGACAATACAAGAATTATATTCACCTCATTTGGAATCCAAGACAGCCTGCAGATAGTAGCATGACTGGGCAGATGAGCTTACAGCAGGAGCTGGTTGATATCAGCCTTTTAAGAACAGCCAGTATGGCAGGGGAGAGTAATTGAATCACTTTCCACATGGAGTTGAATGTGTTCCTCTCACTATTTACAAGCTGTTTGCCAGCCTCTGGGGCATTATTAGGCACCAAAGCGCGTTAACACTACAGAGCTTAACTCGGTTTTCCTAGGGAAACAGCTGGCTGCACTGGCGCCAGCTCTCAACTGCTCTTGACTTTCTCTCCTTGTGTTTGCAAAGCACCAAGAGCCTATTTCTGGCTCATGCTCCAGCCAGCCAGCCCTGCAGACCCCAACCTGCCTCTTGGAAAGATTTTCTTCACAATACTGACTAAGCAGGGTGTGCCTGAGCAAATTGGAGCGGATAAAGGAAGGATCACAAGGAAAGAAGTTTAGGAGCTCTCACCCATTCCTGCAGCCAGCATAGCAGAACTGAGATCACTGCAGGTTGTTCTAACTTTGAGCACCATTTAAAAGGACACTTAAAATTCTGAGATAAGACATAGATTCCTGGTTCAGCGGAAGCTAGAGTAGAAATGGGGACGAAGTGCAGTCAGATCAGGTGAGTCCAAGACTGCTGGCAGTTGGTAGCCAGCAAGGCTGAGAATTCAATGAACAGGCCCCAGAACCCTCCACATACCAAGCAAATCTTAAGATACTCATTTGTTTGCTTTAAATAACAACTAGAAAGAAAACAAGATGGGGATCTGTGAAGTAAACTGACTCCTCAAATCACAGAGTAAGAAGGAATCCAGCTGCTCAGCTCACGGTTTTTCTTCATCAAGCAGCCTGCAGTGTGGTGTCTTCAAAACCAGGATGTTTCTTCTTCCATAAGTGCTCTACTTGTCTGTATGATTTCCTTTCTATTCAGTTGCATCCTCTCTTCCTCAGACTATATTTTAGCTTTGGATGTAAGGACTTCCAAGATGCTGACAGATTTCCATTGAGGCTGAATAGCATGGACCTAGGACCAATGAGACCATAGTAGGCACTTCAGGAAGGCTACCTGTGAGTCTTCCAGCCTCCCAGCCCCATGGGTAGCACAGCACATGGACTCTTAGTTGTAGTAGGCTTAAAATGTGCCTTGGGACAAGGAAAGGCTTGGTACACCCCTTTCCCTACTTCTGTGGAGTAATAGGTACAAGCGTGGAGTCTGCTTCACTTGAGGTTCTAGCTGGATGGCTCTGAGCTTCCTTTTTTCCATGACACTTGGAATCCAGACCACAGCCTGGCTTCTCTGACTGTTGTACCTTTTGAATGCTTTCAATCTGCCTGATGCTCTGGACCCCTGAGGTAACCACATCAGTCTACAGAGACTGACGACAGATACAGGGCAGTAGTAGAGTATCCCTATTCTTGGCAACTCTTAAATTCTTCCTGTGAAACCATTCCACCTCCTGTCTGTGTTCAAGGATGGAAGTTTGCATGTCACTGTGGCAAGACAATTTGAAAGATCACGCCCAGTGCAAACTCATAGAGTGAATCTGTTATCTTTTTAGCACATGGTAGATGCTCAAAAAAAAAAAAAACAAAAAAAAACAAAGCATGTTGAATGAAACAAATGCCATTAGGGATGAAGCTGTTCATGCCCTGAGCTTCATGTTTAAAAACTTCCAGGTTTTGAGTACTTATTTATGTGTAAGTGTTGATTTTGAGAAATCAAAACTTGAGGAACAGAGCCTTTTCTTTTGGAGGGAGCCATCTCTTCCACAGGACTGTGGCCCCCAGACATGCCTAAAACTTACTGATTGATGGCTTTGTGTGTGGTTTCCTGAGGCTCCAGCTGGCTGAACTTGATGATGTTAAAGAAATTGCTATTCACAGAAGAGAGGACGTTCAGGAAGCCTGTGAGTGTGCAGGCAAGTTAAGATGATCCTAAAAACTGAGACAGGAAGCCCTCACAACACTTCCTCACTCCACAGAGCAGAAAGTGCACCATCCCAAGTATCTATCAATGTGGCCATGTGGGTGGATGCGTGGGCTCAGGACAGGGTACACAGGGAATACTGCAAACACGTGGTTCCCAGTCTCAAGTCCTTAATTTTATTCCTGCTGCAAAATGCAATTCATATACAGAAAAGTACCTTAAAGACACTTAGAAAGCAGCATGTTAATCAGAGAGAAGATGATCCAAAAGAAGAGTATCAGAGGCATGCAGAGAGGCATGGGTTTAAAGCGGGGAGTGGTGGTAGTGAATTCACATTCCTGTCCTGCGGGTTCTCTTCCTCCAGTCCGTGCTGGAGCTTAAGCAATGCAGTCTCCATGCATCTGTGCCTACCATAGAATGTTTTTCACTTGTGAGCACGCTCACTGTGTCCCTGAGCACTGTGCATTATTTAAGTCTCACAGCTCTACTACCAGGTAGGTATCATTTCCATCTTGCAAAAAAGTTAAGCTTTGACAGCCTAAGTAACTTGCTTCAGTCGCAAAATTAGTGAGTAGTAGAGGTGCAATTTGAGGTCTCAACTCTGTCTCCAAATGCCACCTGTTTTCCACTCACAGTTCTGAAAGTAACTGTGGGACAGCATGTTCCACAAAAACAGGAATTGCAGCGTCATGCTGACTCTTGTTCTGTTTCCTATTTCAGGTAACTTGTTCTTGGTGAGTCTGGCCTTGGCTGATCTGGTGGTGGCCCTGTACCCCTACCCACTGATCCTCCTGGCAATCTTCTATGACGGTTGGGTGCTGGGGGAAGCACACTGCAAAGCCAGTGCCTTTGTGATGGGGTTGAGTGTCATTGGCTCTGTCTTCAATATCACCGCTATTGCCATTAATCGGTACTGCTGCATCTGCCACAGTGTGGCCTATCACCGACTCTGTAGACACTGGCACACCTCCATCTATATCAGCCTCGTCTGGCTCCTAACCCTGGTGGCCTTAATACCCAACTTCTTCATGGGATCTCTGGAATATGACCCACGCATCTACTCCTGCACCTTCATCCAGACAGTCAGCTCCCAGTACACAACAGCTGTGGTCATCATCCATTTCCTCCTTCCCATGACGGTAGTGATCTTCTGTTACTTGCGAATCTGGGTGTTGGTGCTTCAGGCCCGCAGGAAAGTCAAGTTGGAAAACAAGCTGCACGTCCGGCCCAGCAATGTGCGCAGCTTTTTAACCATGTTTGTGGTGTTTGTGATCTTCGCCATCTGCTGGGCCCCCCTCAACTGCATTGGCTTTGCTGTGGCCATAAACCCAGAGCAAATAGCTCCCCAAATCCCAGAGGGGCTCTTCGTCACTAGCTACTTCTTGGCTTATTTCAATAGCTGCCTTAATGCTATTGTCTATGGGCTCCTGAACCAGAACTTCCGCAGGGAGTACAAGAGGATCCTCTCCTCCCTCTGGATGCCACAGAGATGCTTTCAGCAGGATTCCAAGGACAGCCATGCAGAGAGGCTGCAGAGTCAAGCCCCACCCGTGACTAACGTCCTGCACCATGCCCAGAGGGACTCGAGTCTGGTCTGAGGCACACTAGCTGGCCAAAAGCCCCATGAATGGTTGGGAATGAATCTGCTGCAAGGGTGAGATCAGGCAGCCTGCTGCTCCACTCATCCTGTTCATATCCACTGCCCACAACATGTGGAATCTGGTGTTACTGGCAAGGGTACCATCAGACACTGGACCTGCCAATCACTCCGGGAAGCGTCGACTGGGAGGTGTTGGAGCCTTGGCACACACAATGCCAAGGAAGAAAAAGAATGAGAACAGGCCTGGGGACAAATTGCTCAATGCCTTCCCATGAGCTGCAGTCATTCTCCTGCCTGGACCTCCTTCCTGCTGTCTCTCCTTCTCCTGAGGGAACCGTGAGAATACCTCTTCCAGTTAGCTCGGAGGAGACGCAAGACATGCGGGGCTGGAATGTACCCATCTGCGAGGCTGCCTGCAGGGGTCCTGGAAGAGGAGGTATATAAGGCAAGCACTCCATGCTTTCTTCACACTGAGGTCACACACACAATGCACACACACTTGTGTACGCACACACACACACACACACACACAGCACATGTATCACATTACAGGTATCTCTCCCTTCTTCCTCTCCCTCCCTCTCTGTCTTTCAGAATCATCAGCACAAAGTAGGCCTGCTCTTTCCTGGTTCCATCATGTTCAAGTTCTATGACATGGGGGACCGGTCCCCTAATCTCTTTTGATCCTCAGTTCACTCATCATAAAACAAAAATCAATCATGGTAGTGTTTACCTCTAGGATTCTCTGAACTGTGAGAGAGCAGCATCTGACACTGGCTAGCACTCATTACTCACTAGCTTCTGTTTTTCTAGTCCTATAAACTAAAAGATACTCCTGAAGAAGAAAACAAATCATACACAAGATAAGAAGGGGTGGGAAGGTACCTTCAGTTAGCACCAGTAGAATTAGCAATGTTTCTTCAACTCAACTATTAATTAAGTGCTGTTTGTGGCCTTCACCTAGTAAGAGAAAACAAAAGCATCTCTTGGCCTCTGGCAGATCAGTCTGCTGATAAATTGGTATCAACAAAAATTATTTGGGTATTTTCTTTATACCATCGTAAATGCTTTATATATATTATCACATTCAATTCTCTCAAACTGTAGGAAACAAATATTACCCTCTTTTCATAATAAGAAACTGTAACTTAAGAAAGTAGAATATTTTCCTGAATTCATAGTTCTGTTAAATTCAGTTATGTGTAGAACCATCAGTCTGAGGGCAGCATACCAGGATAAACCAATTGTCCTAGGTACATAAATTGATAGGGTCCTAGAGGAAGAAAAATGTTACCTCAACCAGCAGTGGCTTTCATGGACCAAAAGCTTGGGGTTTTCTAGGTATACTGACCTCCAAGAGTTAAGCTAGATACTCTTCTTTCCTATGTACAAAGTCAGGAGTCTCAGCTGGCTGCTGTGACTCCTGGGAGAGTTCATTAAATGTACAAATTCCCTAGGCCCTACCCAGGGGATTTCCATTGTGGAAGTCTGGAGAGTCTTGGGAATCTGATTCCGATGTTAGAGGCTTCTAATCAAATGATTAGGAAAGTGTGGTAGGTGCCCTTAGTGGTGTATCGTTAGGCCCTAGTTGCAAAGTGAGGAGTGCAGTGCTCGGCGAGATGCCACAGTCCAGTGTAGGAGTTCTAAACTTTCTCCTTGGGCCTTCTCTACTTTTCTTGGATCTGGATGGAAGTTGAAGGAGACTCAGTCAAACACATGCTATTCTGTGTCCTCAGTGAGGGAGCTATAGGGATTTGCCTTTGGGACCAGATTTGGAACGCAGGGAGGCACCAATCTCTTGGCAGTCAGATTGTCCCCAAATCCTTTCCCCATCCCTATCTTTTAGTGTTGAGCAGAGCTTATAGTACATGCTCAGTAAATACAAGCAGAAGAAACAAAGTCTCCTTTCAGTTTCCTGGCCCTACAAATAGATGTCAGCTGGTTTGCAAGGCTTAGCACTGACTGTTCACTAACTGGGACATTCTCTTATATCTTTAGGTTTTTAGTGAAGAACCAGGAACCAAGAGAATGCAGGACAGTGGGAAAAGCTCGAGACATCAGATGATGTGTGTGCATGGTGGAGTGGCCTCACACTACAGGCCCTGACTTTAAATAAAGATGAGTTTTCTGAAGCTGTGTGAGTACTCTGTTCATCTTCTTCCTTGTGGACCTTGGACAGTTCTAGTGAAAGGTGCTACCTAGATCCTAAGTCCCTATTTCTGGGACCACCTTCAGCACCCCTCAGTTCTGAACTGTGTATGGAAACCTCAGGCATCAGGGAAACTCAAGTCTGCATTCAGGTTTCTGACCTGGTTGACAACTGAAATTATCCAAACCTGGGCTCATCCGTTGCCCACACTGGGTCAGGTATCACACACACTCACACACACACACACACACACACACACACACACACACACACACACAATATGAATGGTATTCCCCTACTGATGTGCATCAGAAATATTTGGGGAATACTTTAAAAATATAAACTCCCAGAATCCGATGTGAAGTTCAGAATGTCTATGGACCTTGGACGCTCCTCGGATGCTTCTTGTCTGCAGAAAGGCCTGATAATTTCACAGTGTTTGAACTGCCACCTCTGCCTGTGCACATGTCCACTAGCACACACCTCTGCACCACTCCTTCCGGGAGTTTCTTTTATATTACATATATCAACTCATCAGATAAATGACTTGCAAATAGTCTCTCCTATTCTATAGGTTAATTTTTCATTCAATTGATTCTTTTCTTTGCTATGCAAAAGCGTTTGATCCAGTACCACTGTCCTATCTTTGCTCCTTGTGAGCTTTGTTCCTTGTGAGCTTTGTGTCATGTCTACAAAATAATTGCCAAATACCAGTGTCATGAAATCTTCATCTCATATTTTCTTCTAGGGATTTTGTAGATTTGTGTCTTAATTAAATCTTTATTCCATTTTGAATTGATATTTGCATAACGTATAAAGTAAGGGTCTAGTTTAATTTCTTTACGTATAGATATCTAGTCCTTCCAACACTGCTTGCTGAAGAGACTATGTTTTCCCTGATTATATTCTTGGTATCTTTCTAAAATTGTGAGTAAGACAATTACCACAATGCAGTAACAGCCATATGTGGTAAGCCCACAGTTACCATCATACTTAATTTTATCAGACTTAACAACAAAAAACTGAAAGCTTTTCACACACAATCAGGAAGAAACAAGATGATCACTAACTATTACCAATTTTACTCAACATAGTATTAAAACTCTTAATCTCAGAAATCAAGCAAATAAATAAAGCATATCCAAATGGAAAGGACTATGTAAAATTGTCTCTATTCACAAAGTGTAAGACTATGACCTGCTGATGGACAAGAGGAGAGTAATAGAACTCCAGATAAATTCCTCCAAGATACTCCATAGAGGAGTCTGTACCACTTCTCTAAAGAATGACACAGACTAGCAACAAAAAGGGGACGATCATTCAGAGAAAGAGTGATATGGGGGCGGGGGTGAAGAAAGAACTCACTAGCTACCAAACACTGGCAGCTGGACTGACAATCAGAGACTTCTCAGGATTGAGTTAGCCAGTGGCCGAACTATAAAGCATAAAGCTATCTACAAAGTCTCATCAGCACTTCCTGATCAGAAGAAAGTCTAGTTCCTACTTCTAAATGCTTGAAGTTAGTTTTATGCAAACTCTAAAGCTACCAAGAGAAAAAAAACCCTGCATTTGGGTAACTGCAGATCTGATTGACTCAAGACACCCACACTAGAATCCAGGAGAACAGGTGTTCACTTTTCTGATGATAAACATTATTATTATTATTATTATTATTGGTACCAGGGAATCAAACTTACAACCTCGCACTTGCCAAGCAGGCGTTTATGCTGCTGAGCTAAGTCCCCAGCTCCTGATAAATATTTCTTAAATTAATTTTGACTATTCTTTTCACAATGTGAGTGGCATACAAAAACAAAAATTATAATATGTGCAAAGGGGAAAATATGTGATATATGGACAATAGAAGCATCAAACACAAGGAAATGCAAACAGGTTTTACATTTAAGAGATTTATGATTTAAAATTAAATATGAAAATTATGTGAAAGGAGATAGTGGGAAAGGAGGAAAATATGTGTGGTGGGAATTTTAACACAGAGATGAACACTATAGGTCAAAAAGAAAAATATGGTATTGGATATGAAAAGTTTATTTGAAGGGTTACCTGAAAGTTGGATATAGCAGAGGAAAGGGTAGAAAACAAAATTGGCAAAGGGAAGAGGATCATGAAGCAAAGTCTGGAGGAAAACAATTAAAAATTCCAAGAGTCCTCGCCCAGTGGAGTCAGCTAAAGAATCATGAGTGGCGTATTGGATACCAAGGAAGAAAACTTGTGTCTAGGGGTCCATGTTTTTCTCAAAGCTCAGTCACATGACAACCTTCTGCCTAACATTTGCCAAAATTCCAGGCCCTTCCCAAGAGAGCAGGTACTTATCACAGACCACATTTGTATGAACAGTTAAGGACAGGAATCTATTCCTATATTATACAGAATGGTGGAAGCCTCTCAAAATTCAAATTCTAAGATCATAGCCAAGGGGCAACTTTGCAAACACATTTTCCCTAGGAGAACAGGCTCAGATTTTTATGCTTACTCTTTTCTGTACATCCCAAATTGTATATTTAGTGTATAATTCTCTTGCATCAAAGAAAAATTGCAAAGGAAATAAGAAAATATTTTGAACTGAAAGATAGTATATCACAATTTATAGGATACAGTTAATTCAATACTTATGGCTACATTTATGACTTTACATGCTAATATTATAAAGTAAAATGATGCAAAATCAATAATCTGTTTCCACTTCTAGAAAGCCTAAGTTTTCTTGGACCCTGTGAAAAAGATTCCAAGAGAGACAGAAAATGGGGAGGGATCTAGTGAAGACAGCCTGTCAGTTATAAGATAACATCCTGCAGATGGGTTTCACAGTGTGTATGTACTTAATACTATCAAACTGTTCACTGAGAAATGGTTGAGATGTGAAAATTTTATATTGTGTTTTTCCACAACAAAATAATTTTTAAATGAAAATCTTTCAAAACTCAACCAAAAAGCAAAGTAACATATCCACTGAAAACAGCAGCAAATTCAACCCCCAAGCAAAACGAGCAAACCAAACATTTCACTGAAGAAGACAAACATATGACAAATAAACACGAAAGATGCTCAGTTTCATTAGACATAAGGAAAATGGAAATTAAAACTGTAATGAAGTATCATCACATATCTATTAGGATGGTTAAAATTTTTTAAAAAATACTTACACCGCCCAATTTTGGTGAGTGTGCAAATGAAGTGGGTCATTCACACATTGCTGGTGGGGATACAAAATGGTACAGCTACTCTGGAAAACAGTTGGGTTTATCCCAACTCTGCAATTACCAAGGGACCCAGCAACTGTGCTTCTGTGTCTTTTTTCTCACAGAATGAAAACTGAATGTTCACACAAAAACCTGTACACAAAGAATTATGAGTGCTTTATTTATAATGGTGGCAAGTGAAACAATGCAGACAGCCACCGTGCAGCTGGTGAATGGCTACGAACTGGCACGTCCACAGCACGGAACACTGTTCAGCGAGTAAAGGGGACCAGCTACTGATATGTGCAGCACCTCGAGCTCTCCTTTTTTATATAAAGGGATAAAAGCCAATCCCAAACAGTTACATGCTGTATCATTTTACTTGAATTCAGCTATGCTAAAATTCTGGTTAGAATGCACAGCATAAAATCCAGCATCTCAACTATTTGTTCAACCAAATATTATATGAATATTATATTCACATTGTTCTATGAGCAATCCAGAGCTTTCTCATCCTGGAAAACTGACACTCTATACTCATCAATCAGTTCCTCATTTCCCCCACCTCACCTTGTTACTGGTAACCATCATTCTTCCTTCTAGAAATCTGGCTACTCTAGATGCCTCCTATGGTGGTACCTTACAGAGCTTGTCTTTTTGTGACTGGCTTATTTCACATAGCATGTTACCCTCGAGGTTCATCAATCTTGTGACACTTGTCAGAATTACTTTCCTTTAATGGCTGAATTACATTTCATTGTATGTCTACACCACACTTTTTTTGTCATTCGTCTACTGATGGACAGGGTGTATTGTTTGTTTGTTTTTTGATGTAGAGTCTCACTATGTAATTCAGGCTGGTCTTGAACTCACTATGTAACCCAGGTTGGCCTGAAATTCATGGCAGTCCTCCTGCCTCAGCCTCCCCAATGCTGGTGTCACAGGTGTGCAAAGGGGACAATGTACATTTTTAAATGATAAAATTTTACAAACTGCGAACAGCTTAATAGTTCCAGAATTTAAGGAAGGTCAGAAGGAGGGGAACATGGTTATACAAGAGCAATATAAGGAATACTTATGGTAAAGGAACTGTCGTGCATCTTGACTGTAACTGTGGACCCAGGAACGTAGACGTGTTATAAAGGTAAGTGGAACTAATTACACAGTATACACATGTGTACACAGATGAGTATACATAAAACAGGAATCCGAAAAAGATGGGTGGACTGCTTTAACGTCAGTATCCAGGTTGTGGTATTACATTATAATTTTATATACGCAATAGCTGGAGTAAAATAAATAAAGGGTTTATGGGCCCTTGTTGTTTCTTACAATTACGTATAAATCTCTAGCTCTTTGAAATTTTTAAAAATCTTTTAACTGTGGCCAAAAATACTTGACCGGGCATTTCACAAGAAAATGTATACAAACTGTTTATAAATTGCTTGTAAAAATAAGAAAAGATGTTCAATATCACTGATCGTCAAGCAAGTGTAAATTTAAGCCATGATCTCAGCATACTTTATACCTTTTACAGTGGCCAAATCAAAATGTGTGACAATATTTAAATGGTGACGAACAAGAGGGACAGTGAGAACTCTCACATACTATTGATTGGAGTGTAAAATATTTTATCCTGTTAGAGAAATGTTTGGCAGTTTCTCATACACATACATTCTCTTAAACTAGCTATTCCCCTCTTTAGCATTTATGCAAGAGGAGTGAACACGTGTCTATACAAATTTGTCTGCAAATGTTCATAGCAGCATTTTTTCATAATTACCAGAAATTTACAAGGTAGTTTTGTAAATGATTTTTTAATCTTTTCTAAATGGTTCCTCTGAAATGGTTCGTACTTACACTAACAGTAAGTTCCTATAGTGGAG